GAGGAGGCCAAGAATTGCATCAGTTTAATGGTCCCTGAAGGAACACGGTGATGAACAGTAGCAGTATATAGCAAGGAATCTTTGCTGCAGTAGAGAGAAGCTCAGTTCCTAGCATGTTACTTTCCAGCATCCATGGTATCCTGAAAACCTTGCTTGATATAGCTAGGGGTGTTTCCAGAAGGACATTTCTTAAAAATCATATACGGGGAGTTCAGATCTGATTTCTACTTGTGTATGAGTCGCACATTGCTTCCCACAATTTCCCATCCACATTAGAGCTTGATGGGATGTATCTGTGCTGAGCCGCTTTGCTCCTCCTCTCTGCCATGCCTCCCCTGCCCCCTCTGCTTTTTCTGTTCTGAACATAAGAAGAGCCTGCTGGATCAGATCAGGGGCCCATCTAGTCCAGCATCCTGTTCTCACAGTAGCCTGCAGAAAACCTGCAAGCAGGAGCTGAGCAGAAGAGCATCTCCCCCTCTTGTGGTTTCTAGCAACTGTTACTTGGAAGCATTTCTGCCTCCAGCTGTGGAGGCAAAGCATAACCATCCTGGCTAGTATCCTCTGATAGCCCTCTCCTCCATGAATTTGTCTAATACTATTTGAGAGCCATTCAAGCTGGTGGACTGCATCACTGCCTCCTGTGGGAGCAAGTTCCATAGTTTTAACTATGCACAGCATAAATAAGTCCTGACTCTTTTGGGCATTGTTGTTGTTTAGTCGTTTAGTCGTGTCCGACTCTTCGTGACCCGATGGACCAGAGCACGCCAGGCACTTCTGTCTTCCACTGCCTCTCGCAGTTTGGTCAGACTCATGTTTGTAGCTTCGAGAACACTGTCCAACCATCTCGTCCTCTGTCGTCCCCTTCTCCTTGTGCCCTCCATCTTTCCCAACATCAGGGTCTTTTCCAGGGAGTCTTCTCTCCATAAATATTGGTCTCCCCGTTGGGGAATCGAACCCCTGTCTCCCGCGTGACAGGCGGGGATACTTACCACTATACTAACGAGGAATGCCTTCTTTTGGGCATACAAAACATGATAACTAAAGGCTGGTTACATTTGGTTTTGCAGACTTCCAGTGGGTTGTCTTTTTAGAAGTGCACACAGATGCAAAAATACCTGGTATTTTTGCATCTGTGTGCACTTCTAAAAAGACAACCCACTGGAAGGCTGCAAGACCAAATGTAACCAGCCTTTAGTTATCACGCTTGACAGTTGTTAAAATGCAGACTTGTGCTTTTGAGGAGGGTACAACTTTTCACATTATTTAAAAAATAATCTTAATAGTGAACCCTTGCAGAAGAATGATGTGTATATATGATCAGCTATATCAATCTGCAGTTTGATTTGGTGAAGGTGTGATGGGTAGCAATATCAAATAATAATAATACCCAGTAGGCCTCTGTAACCATTAACAACACAACCACCTGGCTTCCTCAGCCTATCCAAAACAGAGCAGCAATTAAATACTGGAATGAAGAGTCTTGTGCAAGGCCAGCACATAATTTTGTGAAGTGTTTTTAAATCTTGATGTATGGCACTTTCTGCTGCCATCCCCTGCATGTTCTGTGTGGAGATTCTGAGAGAGCAGTTCCTCTGAAATCCAGAGGATTTCCTGTTGAAATCCAGATGTGCTTTCAGTCTGTGGAATGTAGGTATGCCTGCAGATTGTGCTCACGTAAGGAGCAAATGGAAATAGGGGCATGGCCTTAGAAAAAGGCTACTCAAAGTGGTGGTCCACAAAATAGTGCCAGTCCATAAGCCATCAGCTGCCAGTCTGTGAAAACCTCATCACAACTCAAGTTGGGTGAGATGCCCCAGGGACCAATATGGTGCTGGTTCCTGACACATTGGGGCGGGGGGGGGGTAGGAATTGCTGGTCTGCCACATCAGATAGTTTGAGAAGCAAGACTAAACTCTGTTACAAATGACTGGGTTGGTTCCCCACCCCTTATATTTTTTCCTTTGTCCATCAGAGAGTTTTGCTTATATCTACTTCAACCTAATTTAAATATACTATTTACATGCTATCTCCTGCCCTTTTGAGACCAACAGAGAAACTGTAGTGACTGAATTTCCATGTTGGGGACATTTTAATGCCAAATGCAAAGAGAAATGTTTCCTGCTTAGCCTCTGCAGTTCCTCTTTCAGGGACTGGTTGATAATGGAACTGGAGTCAAGGGTGAATTGTGATACATGAGAGATACTAGGAACTGAGAGAGGGGCAAATCCGTTCACCAGCTGACTTTGTGCCCCTTTTACAAGGATGCAAATCTGAGCTGCTGCTGCTACTTTCTTTCTTTGTGTGTCTGGGTTTTTTAAAAGTTCTTCTGCCACAGAATTGCTGTGTGGTGCTGCCTACGGAGATGTTTAGGAGATGCCTTAATTTCTCTGAAATGTCTCGGAGTTGCTGAGAATCTGCTGAGTCTGTTAGACTGCGCTTTGCTGATGCGGCTGCCCTAGCAAGTTATGCCTCTTTAACAGCTTTTGCTCCTGTTGTCCTGCTGATAAATGGAATACAGGACACTTGCTCCATTCATGTGGCTGTATGAAGCCATCCTCTGCTTTCTTCCCATGCAAGGCAGCCAATCTGGTGCAGCTCCAGATATTTTGGAGTACGATTCCCGTCAGCCCCAAGGAGGATGGGACCTGTGCAGTCCACATCTGGAGGGCACCATGTTGCCTCCCCCCCCCCATCCTAGAGGTAGGGCAACCTTCCCCAGCCTGGTGGTCTCCAGGTATTTCAGGCTACAGCTCCCACCTGCCCCAGCCAGGATAGCCATTTCCTACTATAATACCTCTCAGCCGTGATGGGAGTTGTCGAAAATATTTAGAGGGCACCAGCTTGGGGAAGGTTGTAGTATTTGCAAAATTTTGAGAGCACTGATTGTTGGTTATGGAAGTACCTCTAAATAGAGATGGCTTATTTGAGCCTTCTTTCCCCAGCACCTCTTGGACAGAGCGATGATGGGAAGAAATAACAATAGGCTATATTGTTCTGATTTATATCCTCGGGCCTTTGCCCATAATATTCCTCAGAGCGGCTTACAATCCTTTTCAGTATACAGTAAAAACAACTTTCTGTTGTTGTAAGAAGCGCTGCCCCCACTACCACCACCAGGACTACCCTTCCTCCACCACCTGCAACCAAACAAACCCCAAACCAGTCTAAACAGCATTGGGCAGCCCTGCAGAAAGCATCCTCGACCTCTGTGTTGTGCATGCTAAGAGAGAAGGAGAGCTTCACCCTTCAGTGTCACTGGAGACAAGAGGCACTTGTCTGGGCCAGGTTGACCTCTCTGCAGGGCAGCCTATAAGTGGCTCATTGATTGGGGAAATGGCAGGAAATGGGGGTCTGAGCTCCCTCGGGTCACAGGGGGCATGACAGCAAAGTGGCTCTGAAGCACTGCGGACAATTATGGAAAATGGAGCGGGGGAGCCTGGCTTAACTGTTTTATCCCTGTCTGGGAATGAAAACCTGCTCCATTTAGTGCTCTTTCCCCCCCCCCAAAAAAATAAGGCTCTGCATTCATAAATGGCAGGTTCTCTGAGGACTATGGTCCCCAAGTGGGTGAATTTAATGGCCTGCCTTTTCAGGGCTAATTTCTGTCTTGCCAAAGATGCACTTGGAAAAACACTTTCTGCCCCAGAGAGCCTTTTATTTGCCTTTTTGACTGTTGGTGCACCAGCTGCCACGTGTCTTTTTTCTGTTTTGTTTCTTTTCCAAACTCCCACAACTCGTGCATTTTTGCTTCTTCCCCTCCCACCTCTTGATATTTGGAGTTCACAGCCTGTCCCTTGCAGAAGAGGAGGAGGCTGCTGCCGCTGCTGCTGCTCTTTTAATGTTCACAGGCAAACCCTGATTGTTCATGTTTCATGTGTACACTTGAGCCTGATCCTACAGGTGCAGCAGACAGAGACTTTCAGCCATGCAGACTTACACCTTCTTTACCTGTGTGGCTCTCCATGATGATTCACTGTCAGCCAACCAGGACTGAAGAAGGCAGTACTTAAATGACACATTTGGGCTTGGAGAAGGAGTAGTGCGTGCTGGTGTATAAAACAGAAAATCATCATTGGTACAATGACAAGCCATAGTTCTCCTTCACCATGGAGGGTAAAGCAATAATAAACAGGGGTTTGTAATTATTATAATACCTCAAGGTAGCTTACAAATAACATAGGAACAGCTAAAAACATAGCAGGGTGAGAGAGTCATTAAAAACATTTAAACACCAATAGAATAAAAACTATATATGAACATAAGATTCTAAAGGAACAGGAAAAGAAAGAATATTTTTTTCCTGTCTGACCAATGAAAAGAGACTTGAGGGGAAACTGATGAGATCTCAAGTCCCCATAAAAATAGCTACTGGAAGTTAGTTTTTGTTTTAAAGAGTTTGGGGGGAGAGACAAGCATTACTGGGCAGTTGGCTTGGATAGGGTTTCCCAGTCTTAAATCAGCTTGCCTTGGGACAGAGAAACTGTGGCTGTGGGGAAAGGGGAATACTACTCGTTGCCCTCTGACCATAAGAGATGTGAGTGTTTTTTATGTCACTGTGGTTCAGTCTGGCCTGCATCAGGTAATGTGTTGCATGCATGCTGCTGAGTGGGCTTTCTGTGAGCACCCCAGTGCTGTAGCTGAGCCAGTCATTCATTGTCTTTGAGAGAGCTGTGGCTTTGGCACCACCTCCCTTAATGCATTGAAATATTAATCTCTTACCCTTGGACTTGGTTCTTAAGCTGTCCTGTAGGCCTCTTTGGACAGTGTCTACAGCACCCTTTGAATTTCTGTCTGGTCTGTAGTAGCAGGGAATATGGACTCCTACAAAGGTGCCCAGGTGAATCTGGGTCCTTTGTGTCTGGCCTGGCTCTTGTGGTTGGGAAGAGTGTGTGTGTAAGTGGGGCATGTGAACAACAAGGTGGTATAACAACCCCAACTTGACAATATGGGATATGGTTCCAAAAGGCAGCAATCTTAATGGTGTCATTTTCCTCTTGCAGAGCTCCCACTGACCTTGACACCCTCTGCTGAAGCCCAGGTACGTTGTCTATTCCCTCCTAGGAAATAAGGGGTCACTGAAACTTGCCCCTGAAAGCCAGCATTATTGGATCATTCTGGTGACCTGCTAAAATGCTTTTATCTCAGCATGTGGGTGAAGTCATTCTGCCTTCAGCCAGTTGAAAGACACCATAGATTTTAAGAGATCAGTGCAGAAAACCTCAGTCTGCTAAGAACATAAGAGCTCTGGAGCTGGATCAGGCGAAAGACCCCACCTTCTGGTATTATGAGAGAGGGAGAGATGTGCCTTCTGCAGGCCATTTATTTTCTTTAAAAGCTCCTATCATGCCTTTCCAACTTTATGTGAATGAAAGCGCTTTAAAGTGGTGCAAGCAGAACCCTTCTGATTCCGATTGATTTCTGTGTGTCCTCCTCCTGAGAAGACCTCTGGGGGAGGCTCTTTCCTCTCCCTTCCTCCCCCCCTCCCAAACTCTAAGCAGCTGCAGTTCCACCATCAGCCCATCTCTCCTGGGTGCCTGTCGCCTTGGTAGCTAAGCCCAGGGACCAGTGCTCAAGCAATGAATAATTCACAAATGCTGAAGCATAACTATATTTAATGAGCTGTCCCAGGCCAAATCAAGTCCCTCCTTGATCCCATTAGAAATGGCCAAAATGGTAGCTGGGAGACTGGGGTAGTTTGGCTTCGGATGGGCCGGGAACCAAAAGCAGCCAGCAAGGGAGATCCTTTGGCAGGTGCCATGCACCTGCTGCATCTGGTTTGGAGATCTTACAAGGGTGGAATTTAGGCCCTTTTAATCTCTTTGCACACCCTGAACATGTGTGTCTCCCTCTCCCTCTTTCCCCACGTCCTCCTCTTGGCCTCCACAGCTGAGCTCAACTTGACATGACAGTATCTTTGTTTTTCTTCTATCAATGTTCACCTCTTCCCTTTATGGCTGCCCACCCCCCACTCAAGTTTCCCACAGGGGAAGGAAGCCAGCTAACAGTGCAGCTTCTGTTTCTGCTCGGAGACTCTTGGCTCTCCACATCAACCCTGTTCCCTGCGGGGGGCTCATGTTCCCCTTGACTTCTAGATAATGGAGCCCTGGTGTTCGTGGTGCAGAGAGCAAGGAAAACAGGGGGGGGGGACAGAATGCACACCTTTGTTTGGGAAATAAAATGAATTGTTTAAAAAAATCATTTCAGTAAATCTCCAATACAGTGGTACCTTGGGTTACATATGCTTCAGGTTACAGATGCTTCAGGTTACAGACTCCCCTAACCCAGAAATAGTACCTCGGGTTAAGAACTTTGCTTCAGGATGAGAACAGAAATTGTGCTCCGGCAGTGCAGCGGTAGCGGGAGGCCCCATTAGCTAAAATGGTGCTTCAGGTTAAGTACAGTTTCAGGTTAAGAACAGACCTCCGGAACGAATTAAGTTCTTAACCTGAGGTACCACTGTAATACCAACAGTAACAACAAGAACAGTATACAACACAATACCTGCAACTAAGTGTTGCAGTATATCCTCCCTCTCAAAAGGAGTGCTCCTGTTCAGAGTTCCAGCCAGATACTGCCTCTGAGAAGGGCATCCCACTCCCTACCCCAGACATGGCACTCGGGGAGCACTGCCCCCCGCCCCCCCTTGCAACGCCACTGGCTACATGTAGCCACATCTTCTGTTGATTTGTCTAATCCGCTATGAAAGCCATTCAAGTTAGTGGCCATCACTTAACCTTGTATCCTAATGATACAGTCTCACCTAAACAACCTTTTTGCCTTAACCACCTGTGTCGGTTTGCTTGCAGATGGTGCAGTCTCTCGGCTTTGCGATCTACCGAGCGCTGGACTGGGGTCTGGATGAGAATGAGGAACGAGAGCTCAGCCCTGAACTGGAGCGGCTTATTGACTTGATGGCCAACAGCGATTCAGAGGACAGTGGCTGTGCCACGGCAGACGAAGGCTATGGCGGGCAGGAGGAGGAAGAGGAGGCCGTGGCGGAGGGCACCCTGAGGGCCGTGTGCACCTTCAGCCAAGCCATGCGGCTATGTGCTATGCGCCTCACCCAGCCCCAGGAAGCTGAGGCCCACTACCAGGCTGTTTGCAGAGCCCTCTTCCTGGAGACGGTTGAACTGAAGGCTTTTCTGGCCAAGATTCGCGATGCCAAGGAGGTGAGCATTGCAGTGGGCTGTGTTGCTCTTGCCTCATGGGCATTGATGGGAGGGCATGCATGGCAGCATCAGCGCTGCTTGGTCCCAAGAAGGAGCATGCGTGCGCTTGTGACATGTTGTCTGCTTGCTAGGTGTGTCAGAGATTTCCGTTGGAAACGGGAATGGAAACGGCTGCTGTTCTCTTGTTCATCCCATGCCCGGAATGGAAATCAATCTATGGCATAGAGTCTATATTCACTACCGGCACTTCCAGTCCACAAATGATGTATAGTCAATTACTCTCCCCCACCCCAATTTACATTGCATTTCCTTTGCACTGAGATGAATAGGCTGGAATAATGAGACTACTATAGAGCTTATATATTTTATGTAATCAATTGCATAATTTACATGATCCTGCTACCACCGACAGTGAAACCCATGATGCAGTTTTCTGTAGAAAACAAACTGCAGCAGAAAGGAAGCAGTGCTGCTTGTGATGAATGTAGGGTGGGACGTAGCCCTCTTGCATCCCTACTATTCACATGGCAGCTTGGAGAGTTACACAGTGACATGTCTCTGCCTGCAAGGAACTAACAGTTTTTAAAATGCAGTAGGGAAAACAGAGAAAGGGAGAGTCAAGGGAGGAAAGGAAGATTTGGGGCAAACGGCAAACTACAAGCCTTTAGCTTGATTGGAGTTCAGGACATGCTCCATACATGACAGCATTGCAGCTTTGTTGGAAGATGCACTCCATGGATGACGGCGTCACTGCTTTTTGCCTGAAGCTGCAACATGGATAAGCTTCCTACACAGCAGCTAGAGGAAGGATAAGGATGCTCCAGACCCTGCACCCACCTGTATCTGCAGAGCAGTGACCTTGTTTCTCTGGGAAGGAAAGGCATCAATTGTCTGTAGAGCTGCGGCTGTTGTTAAAGAGGCTGTTTTCTGCCTCATTGAGCTTATGAGGCTGCTCCTTCTGCCTGTCAGCCTGATGATGGCACCTGTGTGTCCCAGCTTGGTCTCTGTGCAGGCTGCCTAAGTTGCAATGTGTAAGCTGAGAATAGGGGGCATTCTGGTGGCAGTTGCAGAACAGGGTAGATAGGGATGATGATCCTGTGGGTGTCAGAGAAGGGAAGCTGTATCTGGGCTGGAGCACAAAGGAGGTGGCTGAGTAGTTAACGGCACCTGGGCTGGGGAAGACGGACTCAGTGGAGACTGACTTCCCTACACCCTTTTGCATTGGTGATGCATGTTGCAATTCCTAGTTGCTGGCAAAGGGGCAGTTTTCTTAAAATGTCTGAGGTTCCCTGGCTTTTGTTTTGTTGGGCTTTTTTAGCTTTTTAAAGCAATAGTATCCTGCATAAGTCCTTGGAATTTGATAGTTAACAATCTCAGGCTGTGATCACACCATACATTTAAAGCACATCCCCCCTTTCAACAACCCTCTGCCCAAATAATCCTGGAAACAGTAGTTTATCCCTCAGAGAACTATAATTCCCAGCACCCTTAACAAACTACAACTCCCAGGATTCTTTGGTTGGGTAGGGGAACTGTGCTTTAAATGTATGCTGTGTACACAGCCTTAGTCACTAAGCTTGCTGATTAATGAACAGTGACATTTCCCACCTTGCGCAGACTTTGCAAGAATTCCAGGGGAGGGAGGGGAGATGGAGAGAGTAGGCAGTGAGCCACATCCTGATGCACCACTTGTCCTTCCTTCTCTACCCAGTTCCTGGTCTCTCACGTGCAGCCCATCCCAGTTGTGTAAACACAGATCCTTCCATGAGTATTAGGCACCTTCCCTACTTCCTTCAGCTGTTTCCTTGTATAGACTCCCTGGGCTGTTGTAAAAAAACCAGCAGCAACAGCACCTCCTTCTGGCCAATATCTCTGATCGGCAGCAACCTCTAGCCTACTGAGCTGCCCTCGTAGAATCTCAGGGAAGCTTTTCTTCTGGGAATGGGCAGAGCAGCAATTTGCATTCCTCTCATTCCAAAGATTCTAAATGACACACCTGCAAAGAGACATCACCTGTCTCCTGGGAGGAATAAAGGAGGGCAGGCAGGCAATGCTTTCACCTGGCTCTTCCAGCACAAAATAATAAGTGACATCCTTGTGGGCTTGTCTCATGGGCGGAAACCTATTAACGCTAATTAACTTGTTGCTAATTAATAACTCTGCAGCCAAGCAGTTCAGAAGGGATCATGAGCTACTCTAGGAAACGATTTCACGGAGACCCAGAATTCCTCCTGGCACATTTTTGCCTCTCTGGAGGGGTGAAGTCTGGCCATACCTGCCCTTCCTGGGGATGAAATGTAACGCAGCTCTTCACAGCCACTGTCCTTAAGTCAGGGATGGAGAACATGTGTGTCTGTCAGCTGCTGTTAGATGCCTAACTCCCATAAGCCCAGTGGGAGTTGTTATTAATATGTTAGAGGACTTAGTGGTTAATAAGATAAATGCCTTGTTTACCACGGCCTCTGCCTGTTCCATCTGTCGGCAGTAGAAATATGATGTGGGTTTCTCTAGCGGGAGCTGACAAAAATACATTGCAGATTTGTTAAGTGGAAATAACTGTTTGTACAATCGCATCCCAGTGAAGCAACTTGGTGGCTGTAGGGCGCCAAAAATATGGCCCTGTGGCCATTAGTGTCTTTTTGGGTGGTGGATCTCAGTAGATTTCACATCCTGACAGGATCTAGAAAAACTAACAAGTCCCCCTGGGTTGTTGGTCAAAGGGCATGTATTCTACTGCTACTCTCATTGGTGACACTCTCTGAGGAGATGGCTGAGTGGCCTGTGCAGAAGGAAAAGCTAGCCTGTTTTTGTTTCTTGTGGTGTGCAGATGCTGACGAAGCTGAAGGATGAGGACGAGAAGCTGACGGACCGATCAGCTGCAGATCTAGACAACCTGAAGAACACAGACTGGGTACAGAGTGATGGGGGTGGGTGGGATGGGGGAGTGTCACCTGGATAAATGGCTGGTGGCTCTGGGCTAGCCCCAGTGGGCTAACCATGGCAAGAGCTTCAAAGCTGGCCAGTCAACTTCAGTTTCTTTTCCTTGGACTAATCCTGGGGCTGCCAGGAGAGGCGCCCTGCATGCTGGTCCTGCTAGGTGTGGCATCAATTGCTACTCCAGCTTCACCTGCTCCAAATTGGGGGAGATTGCAAGGAGGGAATGTATGGGCCGTGTGTGTGCGCGCGCGCTGGGAGCTATGTGGCACAATGGCCTTAGGGAGAGTTCCCCAAGGTGGACCCAAAAATGGATTGCAAAGACTCTTTCTGGGGGAGGATGGAGCACGAAGTTTATGCCAAGCCATTTCTCGTCAGCAACTGATATTTCTCTGCCTGCTGCAGGCTCGGCTGTGGGTCCAGCTAATGAGGGAGCTCCGCAATGGAGTCAAGCTCAAGAAGGTCCAGGAGAAGCAGTTCAACCCCTTGCCCACTGAGTACCAGCTGACGCCCTTTGAGATGCTGATGCAGGACATCCGGGCCCGCAACTATAAGCTCCGCAAGGTCATGGTGAGTGAGGTGGGTGGGTAGGTGTCCCTGGCTATTTTGATCACTGCAGCAATAGGGCCCCTTTTCCTTTTCCTTTTTGTCTCTACCCCTGCCTACACCTCCCAAAGCCTGGTCCTGCTGGACTGTGTAGAGTGACAGGGAAATGCCCTGAAAAGAGTGGGATAACACTTGCTTTGACATCAGTGCCATCTAACCTCCCCACAAACAAATCAGAATGAATGCTCAATAAATAGGTTGTTTGGAAGCACCTTCCCAGTGTGTGGCTCCTGGGATTCAGCAGGTAACTGGCTCTGCCCCCTGAGCCACCTGTTTTGGTTCCCCCTGATGGACCCACTAACAGGGAGAATTCCCACAAGCCTCAAGTCTGCCCATGCCTGGGCCATAGACCGAGTCCCCATCACGCTCGGAAATATTTCCAGAGATCCTCTCGGGAGGGAGCTGAAACTGGTTGGTTCACACATGTAGCAGCTCACACTTTCAAAGCTTCTTAAGGCATTCACCAAAGGCAAAACGGGGGACTGGACAGATGCTGGGAAAGAGGGACACTTGGATAGCGTCCAGCTGCTAATTCTTCCTCTTTGGGGCATCTACCAGGTGGACGGCGACATTCCTCCCAAGGTGAAGAAGGATGCGCATGAGCTTATCCTTGACTTCATAAGATCTCGGCCACCCCTGAGACAGGTAGGTGGAAAAGGTTATTCTTAGGAAGAAGCCCCCTGCCCCCAGTTTTGGGTTGGCCCTGTAGCCTAGCAGGCGTTTGCTTTTGGATCCGGAGAACCAAACATTATGAACTTAAGAGGCTACTGATTCCCTAGCCAAGCAGATTGGCAGGGGACTCTCCTGGTTATTTACCCGCTGTTTTGCAATCTCCATCTAATTTGTGGGTGGCTCAACTATTAGGAAACCCTTTGAGAACCTCATGCCGATAAGGCCACCTAAGGTGTATCTACACAGCATCTGCAAGAGAGGAATGGGCATTAAGCCACACTCTGGGTCCCTCCACTGTTTTCTTCTTAGGGGGACTGTGCTGTGCAGGGAAAGAGGATGCTCCTGTGAAACTCTATTTACCTTTTTCTTGCCACTGCTGTGTGACTGCCAGTGGCAAAATCACAAGGTGTCTCAGGTTGGGTAGGCAAATGAATGCCTGTGGGGATGGGCAGACCTTGCCCACTGGCCAACAGTTTGCCACCTCTGTCTCAACTGGCTGTGCCAGGGCTTGATCCTGGGGCTCTTCTGTAAGCTGAGAGCATGTGCCCTGCAACTTGACCGATGGGGGTTATACTTGGACATGTGGAACTTCTTGTGCAGTTGCTGTATCTTGGTCACCCTGTCACCTTAGTTTTGTGGGATCAACGTGCCTTAGGGATCCTTAATGAGGAAGGTGGCAATTAACTATATAGCCCTTCTGAAAATGAAAAACTGTCCTCCTGACCTGGCTGCAGGCTTCGGAACGGAGGCTGCGCCCCATTCCTCAGAAACAGAGGACGCTCCATGAGAAAATCCTGGAGGAGATCAAGCAGGAAAGGAAGCTCCGACCTGTGGCATCCCGGCACCAGAATCAGAAAGGTAAGCCTGCGATGATGACAAAGGCAAAGGGGAATCCTTAATGCTGTTGGGATACTGCCAGGGAGACAAAGGCCATCATGATTCCACGTCGCCTCCGGACGATCCATCGATCTCCCGTAAATACAGTATCATTCAATTAGTGACACGAGCCTCAGAAATAACATTCCAAGGCTGGTGCACGCTCTTTCAGCAGAGTTCGCACAGCAAAAGATGCACTCAGGAGAGCATTATTTACAACTTTATTCAGCGTTGGTCAGAACAAAGGAAAAAACATGACTGCCTGCTTTGATGTCCAGACGCAGAGAGAGGAAACAAAAGCTATATACAAAAACAGAAACATCCTGTGAACAGGAAATACGCAGGCTGTGACACAACAACCTGCTCCCTTCTTAAGGTGGAACGGAAATATCCTAACAAATGCTAGTGTGCAACATGTTCATCAGTAAGTACATGGGGCCATTCGGGCCATATTTGTATAAGGTATTTGTATGCCACTATCATTCACATTTCGATGCTGGGTCCAGAAATTACGTGGGAAATGGGAGGGGCAAAAGTTGGGACCTAAGTTATTGGGTTCAGTGGGAAACTCAAAACACTCAAAGTGCAAATCTCAGAGATGTCAAGGTGATCAAAAAACCTGGAAAAACTGAAGAGATTCCGTTTTGTGGAACCAGCTGTTACTGTGACTGGTGGAAGATGGCTTTGAAGCTGTCTGAGTGTCTTGGATCAGCCAAAACATACGGAGGGCACCAGGTTAGGGAAGTAGAGTTAGTTACACAAAACACTCTCCAACGAGAGAAGAAATGTCAGTCATGTGCCCAGTGTATTCTAAGGATTGTACTCAATGCTAGTCTTGCTCAGAGTAATGAACATGACTAAGTAATTTCAATAGGTTTTCTAGTATTTGGTTAAATAGGATTTGGTTAAATACAACCCAAATGTATTTTTTTTAATAAAAAGGAGAAGCAATGTCAAAATATTCAATATGTCCAGCAATTTATAGATAGAAAGGGGTTGTATCCAATGTTTGTCCTACTCAGAGTAGACCCATTGAAAGTAATGGACATTTTAAAGATGTTTCATCACTTGCTGTTTTCCACCCTGGGCTTCTTTGGGTGGAGAGGTGGGATATAAATAAATTAGGCACATTAATTTCAGTGGGTCTTCTCTGAATAGGATTTAGGTGGCCCCAACTCTAGAAGTTGTTGTGCTCCTACTGGGCCCTCATGGTGCTGCCATCCTTGTTCTTCTCCTCTTCCAGGGTTTGGCTCCCTCCCCTGCATCCTGAATGCCTGCTCCAGCAATGTGACCTCAACTTCCTGCATCAACCTCTCAGATGTCTCCGACGCCAATGCCCTGCCCCAGCGCCAGAGGCCGAGGGTCTTGCTGAAGGCTCCCACGCTGGCAGAGATGGAGGAGATGTTGACCTCGGAGGTGAGAACCAAGCTTTTTGCCTCTCTTGACACCTTCAGGAAGAAGAGTTATTTAGCCTGTAGGAACTGGTGCTGTGCTTCAATGGAGACACTTTGCTACCCTATTGCTCCTTGGTCCCAGCCACCATGTTGCCTTGTACTGCACATGGCGCCCAGAGGTGTCTGGAAATGGTGGGGATGCACTTTGTGGTGGTGCCTGTGGAATCAGCCTTCAACTGCATTGCCTGATGTTACCAGTTGGCACTAGGGATGGAGGATAAATTAGATTTTGTTGGCATTTTAACGAGAAGTTACCTAATGCACACTTCCTGAACCGAAATAATTAACCTTTTAAATTTGTACTGCTACAAATTTTGCAATGCAGTTCTCCAGCCAAACAGTCATGCATATATGAAGGGGAAGTGAGCATTACAATACATAACATACAAAAATGCATTATGTTAGAGAAAATTGCTTGCAAAAGTGTACATATTAGTCAAAATGCATACGAAAGGAAAGTCACACTGAAATGCTGATTTTTCAAGAGGATTAACAATATATATAATTTTAAAACCACAAACTGCTGCATAAATGTGGAAAAATTAGAAAACTGAAATGGGCAGATTCACCCATCTCTGCCAGTCTCTGGAATTACAAAATTGAGAGTGTTGTTGTTCTCGTGTCCTGCTTGTGGGCTTCTCATTTGATTGGGTACTGTAAGAGCAGATACTGGAGTAGATGCCATGCCTGCACCCCAGCCTGACCCAGCTGCTGCAGAGTTTTCCTGATGTTCTTGGGCTCAAAAGCCATTCCCTCAAGTGTGACCTCTTGCATCGATGAATACACCTATTCCTGCTCCCTTTTCTCTACAGGAGGAAGACTCTCCAAGCTCTGAGGCTGTACAGGAACCAGGTCCACTGATGCCCCTGAAGCGTGACCGCTCTTTCTCGGAGCAAGACTTGGCCCAGTTTCAGAGCGAAAGCGGTGGGGGCCAGCCTGACTCAGAGTATTTGGGACCCAGCGGGTCTGAACCGAGACCCCGCTCAGGTACCGAGAGCCCTGCATGGACCAGCATGGAAAATACGGGCAAGTGCACTCCCCACCCCCCTGCTTTCCAACTCCACCCAAGCCTTTCTTCCTAACTCTCCACATACTGACACTCTGGTTCTAAGTTGGTTAAATGCATGGTGTGTTTGCAACCTAAGGGACCCAGCAGCTCTGCACTAAAATAGCATGAGTCCTGCATTGACCAGTGTGGAGGAAATGGGCAAGTCTGTCTCTGTCTGTCTCTCAACGTGCACATATACCAAGATGGCACTGACTCTGGTCTTGCTGGCATTCTGTTGTCGTCCTCCAGGTTCAGTTCCAGCCAGCTACCAGCAGGCTCCCTGTGGTGCCAGTCCTTTCCCCCCCAAGCATGGCGTCCTCAGCTCTGTGGACGAGAAGTCAGAGGCTGGTTCCAGTACTGCCCCAGATGTCAACTTGAAATATTTGTGGCTGGTAAGTTTCTGGTATGAATCAAACTTTCATGGAGTCTGGTGTTCCTGTGCATTGGGTGAACTCCCAGCCTGTGAGGATAGGCAGGGAAGGAGCATCCGTTAACTGTCCCGGTCTTAGTCTGGCATGCCCCAAACATGCAGTAAGCTGAGATGTTGTCACAACCTGGAAGAAAACTTGCATATAGAATGAATGGCATGGGTGGAAGGGAGGGAGAACTGCTAGGTACCTGTAAGGTTTGGAGCATGGGCCCAGAGACTCAGATTTGCCTAAAGTACACTTATGCTAATTTATATGTATAGATACAGATTTACAAGTTAAATATGTCACAAAAGGCAAACCAGACAATATCTCTGCTCCAGATCACTCCAAATAAGTTCTTCCTTCTCCTCCCACCCCAGACAGTCCCAAATTGGTTCCTCTTAAAGCCATCTGCCTTTAATTAATTTCCTTACGGACACTGCTCCAGATAGTCCCCTTCATTTAGTTCATTCATTAGCCCCAAAACATGGAGAGATAAAGTCATCTTAAATTAATGTATTCTCCAATTATATTACACCACCAAAATGTGCTTGTGGCACTCAGGAAAAAGGTTTGGGGTCTGAGCCCCTTTCCTCCACAGCCTTATCAACACCCCAGTGGGTGTGTACACACATACACACTATGGGGCATGGAAAGATCTGTCTGTTTCAGTTTTCTCAGGTTCCCATTTTTTCAGTCTGCTGAAACAATTTAAAGAACAGCGTAAAACCCACCCTGATTTAAGGGCTCTTCCTCTGAAGTAATAGGTGCAGATTCGAGTTTTGCTCTCCTATTAAAAAGGAACTAGCAGGGGAAGAAAGACTTGGGAGAGTTGCTGCTGGTCAGAGTGAACAATACTGGGCTAGTTGGGCCAACAGCCTGGTGGTCAAAGGTGGCTCCTATGTCCTTCTCTTCTCTCCTCTCTCCAGCAAGAGTTCAGCCACCCTGTGGAGAGCCTGGCACTCACTGTGGAGGAGATGATCAATGTGCGGCGGGTGTTGGTCAAAGCAGAGATGGAGAAGTTCTTGCAGAGCAAGGAGCTGTACAGCAGCCTAAAGAAAGGGAAGGTGAGAGTTGGAGGATGCGGGATGGGGTGACTGTGTGTGTTGCTGAGCAGGGGCCTCTTGCGTTGAGCAATACTCCACTTGGAAGCTCAAGTGTCTCCTTTTCCCCTCCCCTCTCACCACTCAGATCTGCTGCTGCTGCAAAACCAAGTTTGCTCTGTTTTCCTGGCCCCCAACTTGCCTGTTCTGCAAGAGGTGAGCAAGCTCTGTGTTGTCTAGGCCTGGGAGTGTTGTTGGTTGATGGCTGCTGAAGGGGCTCCTTCCTTTGATCTGATGTTTTCCCCTTTTTGGTTTTAGGTCTGTCTGCAGCTCCTGTAGTCTAAAGGTAAGAGACTCCTGGCTCTGCCCATGACATGAATATGCCCCTTGGTGCAAGAGCAAAAGGTGAGCCCACTTGTGGCTCAGAAGATGGTTTTCTCCCATCTTCTGAAGATCTACACCAGATAAGCCCCAGCCAGTATTGTCCATGGCTAAGAATGATGGGAGCTGTAGATTGAAAACATGTCCCCTATCCCTGACCTACAATAAACATCTCCTTCCCAATACAGTGGGATACAGTGCAGGCCCTTGCTGTGGTGATGACTCCCTGTCATGACAGTGATGTCCAGTGCTCCTGCTCTTCACCTTTGCTGAGAACCTTTCTTTCTTATGTCCTCCTAGATCAAGATGCCTTCAAAGAAGCTTGCCCATATCCCGGTCTATGCCCTGGGCTTTGAGACCCTTCCAGGCTCATTGGGTACAAGGGCACCCCATTCCGGAGGAGGGAGGCTTTCCAGTAAGTAGGACCCCCGCGCACTCTCTGCATCTGTCTCTCCCACCCCCATTTGTTCATGATGGGACTGTGCTCTGTATGATTCCTGGTAGAGTTAAGGGCCTTAAATAGAACAGTGCAACGTTTTTCCTACCCCTGTTCTTCTGTCATCCAGAATTGGAGACAACAGGCCTTACATCGTTGCAAATGCTTAGGGAGAGAAATTTGCCATTGCAAATTTGATGTGGTCTTAGCCAGGTCCAAGAAGGATATGAGGTGGCAAAGTTTTTCCCAGGGCACTTGTGTGCTCACAATTCTATGAATACACCACAAAAGACTGGATTAGTTTTCTTTTAAATAAGTTCTACTATTTATGGGGGTAAGCTTGTTTGCAGAGGTCTTACTTGAGTTACAGGGGGCTGAGAGTTCATACAGCTGAGCAGCAAAGCTCTGTGTAGAGTGGAACTGGTACCATCACTCTGTCTTCTTGAAATCATGCAGACATTTGAAAGCTGAGGAGGCTGGGGTTGTTTGCAAGATGGGATTCAGGTGGCTTTAGAAATGAGTTACTACTAATACTATTAATGAACTAAATAGTTGCACTAGTGGGAGCCAGCACAGAGAGTCCCACTAGGGCAACTGGGCATTCCTTCCATTCTCCTCCCCCACAAATTAGCTATGGGGAGTTGAAAGTACCACCAGAATAGTGCATGATGGGAGGAGAGCAGAGTTCATTCCACCATGAAATTGGAAATGCTTACGCCAATGGAACTATTGCCTTAGCACAAATCCACCTAATAATAATAGTCATCAATATTATCATCATCACTCACCTTTCCTCCAGGGAGCTCAAATTGGGGCACTACATGTGTCTCCCCCTCCCATTTTATCCTCACAAACAACCCTGTGAAGTAGACTAGGCTGAGAGGTAGACTAGGCAGTGCACTTCATGCCTGAGTGGGGATTTGAACCCTTATCCTGCTGCCAGCCCAGTGTTCTAGCCGCTACGTCATCGTTGTCATCCTAGCTGAGCCAGGGGGATGTCAGTAACCAGGCTTAGTTGTCTTTCTTGGGGCGTTTGTGACGGATCCCCCTCTGCCCCCACCCCACTTGCCTTTCCAGCTCCTTGCAGGGCACGCGCTGGCGCAGCGTGGAGGAGGAATTCCCGTACATCTATGCGCATGGCTCTGTGCTCAAGGATGTTTGCAGCGACTGTTCCGGGTTCGTCACGGATGTCGTCAGCTCCAGCCGCAAGAGCATGGACATCCTGAACACCACCCCGTGCAGGAGCCGCAAGACCCAGTCCCTTTACATCCCTTCCAGTTAAATGACACGCCTCTGCTGCTGGTCTCCTCCACAACCCCCCTGCCCTCTGCACCCAACCTTCATTCTTTGATCCTCTGTATTTTCCAGCCCCCAGCAAGGAGGATGCAGGTGCTCTCTGGCCAAGGAAGCTTCAGCTGGCTTTGTCTGGACTTGTTGCCTCCTGGCTTCCTTGCTTCTCTGTCCAGCCCATCTCCTCCTTTCCCTCCATCCCAGCCTCCCGTGAACATCCCCTGCCTGGCCTGCGTGCGTGTGTACATATATACATAACCTTATAGAGACACTATATTTATATCTGTCGATCAGCTGCTGTGGTCCATGGGCTACGTTTGGGCTGGGAATGCCCCTGCTTGGCAAACGAGGACTCTGCTGAAGTCTTCCTAACCACCCACCTTTTTTGGATTGTAAGAAAGATGGATTTGGGGCAGGATAATTCCAGAGAGTTTGGAAGCCTGGCCATCTCAGTTGCTGCAAATGCAACCTAGAAATCCCAGATGCAGCCACCCCAGAGGTTGACCTTGTTCCCTTGAGGGCTCTGCCCTTTCAGTCATACTAGTAAGAGAAGCTCTCTCTGAGATGTCTTACTTGTGCAGCTTCTAGTCTTATGGGAAGCAGGCCCATTGTGCCATGACCTGTCTGCTGCTTTCCAGTATCTTCCTCCAAGCTGTTTCTCCCCCCCCCCCTTTCTTGGTGATGTCTTGATTATCTGCTCCCTCCCAGCACCAAGCAGCAGGAGGTGCTTTTTAAAATGTGTTCAGACTATCATTTTCTGTTTTCTAATCCCTGGTTTTTTTGGGCTCCTTGGGTTTAGGAGGCAAGGGGTAATTTTTGTAATCATTTAGACAAAGGCTGAACATTTCCCCCACAGTGGGTTTTGTGTGGCTGTCAGAACTACAGTTGGGGGGGTTGCATGGCTGCTAGGGAAGAGCCAGGCACCAACAAGACTATCAGCTGTGTGTGGCAGGATCCTGATGGCAATGTCTCCTCATGCAGAACAGGACTCTGGCTCTCCAAAGGCTGATAAGATGAGCAGTCTATTTCCACATGTCTCATTCCCCCACTCCATTCAGGATTGCCTTGAAAATAGAAAACAGAGGTGCACAAAGGAGCTCTCCCTGTGAGGACAGAATGAAAGCCCGATCCAGCCTATGCCAGGCCTGGGCTAGGGTCTCGCTTCTGCCCTTAAGAGAATTTGGAGAGAGGAGATTGGGATATGCAGGGCTGCCCCAGAGTCTTTCAACCACCTTCCCTGTCAAGCCTGCTGCTGTGGTGGCCAGCACATGTAAATTGGCTGTGCCAAGGCATCCTGAGCTCATCTTCCCTTGATAGCTAATTTCCAAACCCTGGAAGCACCCTAAAAACAGAGGCTGTAAATACAAAATCCACAGCCCTAATATGCCAAATTAGCACATCAGCACTATACATTTAAAGCACTATGATACTACTTTAAATAGTCTTGGCTTCCCCCAGTGGCGTAGCATGGGTTGTCAGCACCCGGGGAAAGGCAAGTAATTTGCGCCCCCTAACCCATGGTAGCCAGGTAGGGGCAGAGAGCTGCGAGTGCGAGCACGCGCCCCCCCAGATGTTGCGCCCGGTGCGGCCGGCCCCCCTGCACCCCCCACGCTACGCCACTGGCTTCCCCCAAGGAATCCTGGGGCATGTAGTTTGTTAAGTGTACTTAAGAGTTCTGAAGAGACTCCCATTCCCCTCACAGAGCCACAGTTCCCAGCATTGTTTAACAATCAATCCTTTGCAGGGAATTCTGGGAACTGTAGCTGGGGGGTGGGATACAGGTCATCTTATACCGCTCAGCACCCTTGACAAACTACATTTCCCAGGGTCCTTTAGGAGAAGCCATAATTGTTTAAAGCAGTATGATACTGTTTCATATGTATAGTGCAGATGGGGCCTGAGACTATTGAGTGTGACTAGCGGAATGGGGAGTAGATCAATTTATCTTTGACAGATGGATAGAAAAGGGTCTTGCTTCTCCTACCCTTTTGTCTTTTCCTTGGATCAGTTTTATTCAACCTGGATGGCAGCACTTCTGCCGTCTCTGGTCTGCTTATTTCTGCCAGGGATGATGACAGATCTGCCTTTGAATGTTCAAGTGTGAGACCAGGCTGGGATAAGCTAAGTTCCTCGCTAGCAATGGCAGCCCAGTCTTCTTCCACCAGTGAACCATTCAGTCTTCCGAGCAACAAAGACAGCCAATACCCTGTGGCTCCCTTATTATGGTATAAGCCAAAGGTAGACAACATGGTGTCCTCTGGGAGTGGTGGACCACAACTCCCATCAGCCCTATCCAGCATGGCTAATGGACAGAAATGATGAGAACTGTAGTCTACCACATATGAAAGGAACCCCAACATACGCTTTCATGGACTAGTGGACCACTGCATCTGACATAGTGGATTTCTAGTCCCCAAAAGCTGATGCCATAATGAATGAAGTCTTTAAAGTGCCACAGGACACTATTTTTTTATTTTTTGGTTTTATTTAGCCTTGTAGCTCTGGGCTTTATTCTGTGGCATGAGCCATGGGCTGCAAGGTGCCAGCCTGGTGTTACCCATTTGTCCTGTTGAGAAAGTGGGCTTCAGCACGGCCACTTGGGTTTGGCAAGAGCCTCCATGGCTCCATTCCTGCATGTCGCCTACCCACAGTGGCTCCGCTGCTCAGGATCTCAACCGGCCACTTAAGACACCCTTGGACCACTTCTGTGGCTCAGAACTAGCACCATCTCCTGCCAAGCCTAAACACAGTCTCAAAAGCTGCACACACTGTCTCTCTCTCCCCCCCTTCCTCTTCCTGCCCCAGGGAACGTAACTGCTTCCTAAAATGCCACTAGTTTTGTGTATAGCACCATAGAGCTCCACATTTTGTATCTTGCCAATACTTGCAAACGCCAAATATACAGTTCATGCAGTCGGTGCTTTGTAGTGGAACAGACCGTGTACCTGCAGGTGCACAGCTGGATGTGCAAATACCTACTTGTACAACCAGTCAGTTATGGGGTGAGGATTAAGTGCTTGTCAATTTGCACATGATGCAAGTGGAAAAAGAAAGGACTGAGTTGCACAGGGGACTGAGAGAGGGCATTGTAGAAACAAATCAGGTGGAGTGTTATGAGGGTCAAAGAGGAAGCCAGGTGTTTGCAGTGAGTGCTCAAGCCTGTTTTTCCTCGGTGCTGAGAAAGGAAGGTAATCCAGCTATAGGAACCGCTAGTGCTTTTCACTGCCACTGCTACTTCTATTGCTGTTTGTGCCAATCTGCTTGCTTGGAGTCTTGCCTTGGCTGCATCGTGCTGGCTGCTGCCTCTGGAGTTCAACATGCCTTATCACCCTGCTCACCTTCTTTGCAATAATTCATTGCACTCTGTGTCAAAAGGGGTGTTTGTGCTCCCTCCTTTTTCTTGTATGTTCTGCCTGCACTTACTCTCCCCCTCAACCAATGTTTTATACGCAGCCTGTATTGTAAAGAGTTGTAAATAAAATGTAAAGTGAAACTGATCTGGTGGTGTGGCCTTGCTAATAAACACCTCTGGGCAGTGGGAGGTTTCAGATTCATCCAGCCCTAGTGGTGACTGATGGTGCTTTCCATGATATCTATATTTGCACATATATAAGGGGTTGAGTGGGAGCATTAAGACTCCAAGAAATCCTGTTCCCCAATACCGTAACTTTGGATTCTCAGTGAGCAAGTCAGGTCTCTACACCTCTTCCCAGCTCCAGACCCAAGACTGCCAGATTCTGTTGTTCTCTTTCACACCTTCATGATGTCAGAGGCTGAGATCTCCTACCTGAGTTACAGCTTTTTCTCTAGAAACTGAAGTGGCTTCCAGGTGTGCATATACTGTATATGCAACAACGTCCAGGATGAATAACAAAGCAATAATCCAAACAGATAATTTCTATTCTCTTAGTCCTAAATATTTTTATTGCCATTTTCCTTTTTACAGTGTCTCCCAATTACAAGGAGTGTGATAGCAAAAATCTGAAATAGCATTTTGATAAAACAGAAATCACTGTTAGGCACTGTTGCTTCATTTAGAAGTGTAAGAGATTGCCTATCACCCAATTTACTGCACTCTGTAGCTCAGGGGGCAAAAACAAGAGCAGCAACAACAACGGAATATGCATGACCACTGTGGTATTTATACATGCTGCTACATTTCCCAAGCTTGAATGGGCAGTTTCTTTGGAAAGACAACTAAATTAATAAAAGGCCAAATGAAAGCATATAGAGTTTAGTTTTGTTTGACCTGGCCTGCGTTTCAGTTGATGAGTAATCTTTTCCACAATGGCAGTTCTAACCATATTAAAGCAAGCAGTCAAAGGCCATACAAGAGAACGATGCTCCTTTCTTTTCCTCAATCTCAATATCCACCCCAACTTGGGTGGCTTTAAAAGAGAATTAGGCACATTCATGGAGGGCGCGGCTATCGACGGCTACGAGCCACGACGACTAGGCTCCCTATCCGTAGTCGGAGGCAGCGATGTTTCTGAATACCAGTTGCTGGAGACCACAGGAGGGGAGAGCGCTCTGGTGCTCGGGTCCCGCTTGCGGGTCTCCCTCAGGCAACTGGTCGGCCGCTGCGAGAGCTTGGATGAGGGATGGCCGGATCCAAGAGGCTCTTCCTTCGCTCTTAATTCCAGCTGGAATCGAGGACCTGCGCACACGCAGCCCGAGGGGAAGGCTTTGCTCTGCAGCCGCGACTTATGCCGCACGCTCCTGGTGGCATCAAATATAACGACCGCGCAGGCAAGCGAGGCATGCGCAGAGCCGTCCGGCTCGTCAGATGCGTCCTCTCGGGCAGCGGCGCGCACACGTCACGAAGAAGCGCCTCTGCTCTCTTTCGGGTCCTCCAGGCGGCTTCCGGTCCGTCGGCTTCTCTTGCCCGGGGTGCTACGGTTCTATTATGTCGCGACGGGCCTTGAGGAGGCTGAGGGGGGAGTCGCGGGGGCAGTCGCCTCTGGGAGGCCTCGATGTGGGAGGCGGCGGCGAGGAGGAGGAGGAGGAAGAGGACGGAGGAGGTGGAGGAGGAGGCGAGGTGCCGTCGTTGTCGGGGGCTGGAGGCAGCAGGAGGCGGCCCCGGCAGGAGCCGGCGGGTCGGGTCACCAACCTCTTCGAGCTGGTGAGGGTCGGGTCTGCCGAGCTGCCGCCAGTGTGGCCCTGAAGCGGGAGGAGGCTTGCCATAATGGCTCAGGAAGAAGGAGAAGAAGAGGCAAAGGCCCGCCGCCCGCTTCAGCTTCCGCTGCTTTCCCGTAGTAGCCTGGCAGATGTTTCCAAGAAGCTCAGAAGCAGCAGGGCGTGATGGCAGGCAGCAGGCATTTTATTTATCCTCCACGGTTGGAGGCAGTTTATGCTTCTGAATGCCAGTTGAGAGAGTTGCTGTTAAGCTCAGGTCCTACTTGCATGCTTCCCATAGGCCTCTTGATGGCCATCGTGAAAAGAGAAATGTTGGACTCGATGGCCCTTTTTGCCTGATCCAGCAGTTAGGCACTTCTTATGTTCTCCCTACCCCAGCAAATGGTATTCAGTTGAATACCCTCGCAGTATGTGGAGGTTCCATTGCTAGCTGTCATAAAGGTGAAGGGACCCCTGACCATTAGATCCAGTCATGGCCAACTCTGGGGTTGCAGTGCTCATCTCGCTTTATTGACCAAGGGAGCCGGTGTACAGCTTCTGGGTCATGTGACCAGCATGACTAAGCCGCTTCTGGCGAACCAGAGCAGCGCACAGAAAAGCCGTTTACCTTCCCGCCAGAGCGGTACCTATTTATCTACTTGCACTTCGACGTGCTTTCGAACTGCTAGGTTGGCAGGAGCAGGGACCGAGCAATGGGAGCTCACCCCGTCGCGGGGATTCGAACTGCCGACGTTCTGATCGGCAAGCCCTAGGCTCTGTGGTTTAACTCACAGTGCCACCCGCGTCCCTAGCTGTCATAGCAAATCAGAATTTCCTGACTGATCAGCCCTAAGGTCATGTAGTCCAGCATCCTGTTCCCCATAGTGACCAAGCAAATGCTTTTGGGAAGTTTAGAAGTAGGACCTGAAGGCAACAGTCCCCCTCCCACCCCCCAAAAAATGACTTTGTATTGGGAAGCTCTATGTGCCATGAAGTTGTCTAATGTGCCATGAAGTTGCTTTCTTAAAGCAAGCTGAGCTATTGGCAAATATTGTGTGGTGACATGAAGTTAATTTCTCCATTGCATGAAATGCACTTTCCTCTGACTGCTGCTAGTCAGCTTTGTTTCCTGGCCCTGCATTCTAATATTATAAGGGAGAGAGAAAGAAATGGGCCCATTTAATCTCTTTTCTTCTCCTTCCCCCCATTTTGTAAACTTGGAAAGCCATCATATATAGAATCAGGCCATTGGTCTGTCTAGCCCAGTAATGTCTACTCTGAGTGATAGTGGCTCTCTGAAGCATCAAACCAGAGGGCTTTCCTGGCCCTGCTTTCTAAAGTGTGTTTTACAAGAAATTGAACTTGTGGTTTTCTCTATCAA